AAAGAAAAGAAAAGAAAAGAAAAGAAAAGAAAAGAAAAGAAAAAAGACACTCTGTAAAGATCTACCAAGTCAATTTCTTCACAAGTTTGGTTTAATTCTGTTATTTCTTCTATACCCTGATGGACTTGTTTCTTTACTTCAGTTGTTATCATTTCAGAGATCTCTGGTGTGTGATTTCCAAGTTCTCACATGTCACTGTCTCCTGGATTTGTTCTGGGTGGCCTAGAGGATTGAGATTGCCCTTTGCTCCTGCATTTTGACTTTTTTTTTTTTTTTTTTTTTTTTGTGGAACCAGGGATTGAACTCAGACCCTTGCGCTTGTTAGGCAAGTGCTTATTCTATTGAGCCATTTCCCCGGCCCCTATTTTGACATTTTTGAAGCTTCCAATAATCACCCAGACAGAGTCCCACAGGCCACCCAGAGTCCACCAAAGTTCTTAAATGGCTGCAGGAAAACGCTGCCCCTGTGCACCCTGAGTCCACAGCTCACAGCCCCCCTGAATCCTGCAGGCCACTCAGAGTTCACCTCCATGTGGATTTATAATTTTATACCAACCACATTCCTCTGCCTCTTAAATTGTTCATGTAAGTTTTGTCCTCATCCTCAATTTGTGGGTCATCACAGTTTCTGCCTACAGCAGCCACATTCCTAAAGTTTTCCTGTATTACATCTCTGTAGAACTTCCTTACAGATAGAGCCAGCACAGCCCACCCTCCATGGCAAAGTCCACGCCTCATCCTTAAGGATCCCTGCACAGGCACGGGAAGGTTCATCTTCCCTTCTATGCTCAAATATGCATTGCTTTCTGAACACCAAAATATTGTCTCTCAGAAGACAGAGGAAACTAAATTTAATACTGACACCCTCCAGATTTACCACAATTCTGACAAATGCAGAACACAGTCCTAGCACAGTGCCTCAAGTACAGATTCCAGTCCAAAGCATGCCTTGCTGTTTCCTCATGAATCATCAATGCGTGATCACTTCAGTCTGGAAGGTGGGTGCAAGAGGCTCACAGATTTCAGTGGTGGCATCTATGACAATGAGAAAAAAAAATACTATGTGGTTGGAGGTCTCGCAGCATCCTTCCCACACAACATGCAGCCAGTAGAAATCTAAAAAAATTAAAAAATATTAAAGAGTCTACTTATTTGTATGTTAGTGAAAAAAAATCAATCATGAAGAAAAGTATTAACAAATGGACTATAAATAAGTAAGACCACAGTGTCCATACAGAA